CATCGACGCGCGCCGTTCAGTTGGCACTGCTACTGTTCGCAATGCGCCTTCGCCCGAAGAGTAGGGCAGGAGAAAGGATATCGGTTGATTTTGCGCGCGCGCGCGCGCTCGCGAGCTTCGGTTATGTCGCTGCCGCGACCGGACGGACAAAAACGAGCGCTTCATTGATGGCAGATTTCATGTCATCTCATTCGTGTGATTTGCATGTTTTTTGACATCTACGAATCGACACGCGCCTTACGTACAGTTGCACAAAAGCGTCTCGTTTGTTCGTCGTTCAATTTAACGATGATTGCCATTTTTGAAAAAGCCGATGTGTGATCGCGCGGTGAATCATCAACAGGCTTGATGTGATTTGTCGTGTATATACCTATACAGTTTAGTTATAGCTAGTGCAGCCTGAGGCTGTAAAATTATACGTTGTCACGCTTGTTTTAAACGTTTTATAATGGATCGCATAAAAGAACAAATGAAAATGTTCCACCGCTTTATTGCGTGCACTCTCGTGTCTTTATGGGAAAGCTGTCGCAAGAGAGGTGCTAATTTTGTTTCGTCGATTTACAATCTCCCAAAGAAAATCGAAGCTTCGAGTAAGGTCGAGATATGTTTCGCGCGACACCGACGCGACCAGACACCAACGATACATCTCCGACGCAGACGCCGTGTCAGGGCTTTTCCATGAATCGGCAATTTCGATGTTTACGTGCCCTCGGGTTGGGTAGCGGCGAGAGATCCCACTGCGCTATATAGTTAATTTGCGTCGGCTGCCTCTCTCCTCGCGCCCGGGTCCGCCGACGTCGAGAGCCCTCGAATTCTACGCGCGCCCGTCCACGCGCAGCGCGAGCGGCGACGGCGCGTCTACGAGCGCGTGGAATGCGAGCGAAAGCGAGGAGGCCCTGGACAAAGAGGAGAGAGAGAGGACGCGAAGCCGATCGATCATCGCGCGCGGGCATAGATGACGAAGGGTTCTACGCCGGGCTCGGCCGGGCGCACGCGCGCGAGTGCGAAGGTACCCGCGAGATATCGGCGAGGGATATGGGCTCTCGCCGAAGCTATTGCCTCAAGGCCGCCTCCGAGTGTGCATGTGTTAAAGCCCTGGCGGCGCGCATTCTTCCACACACACATGCGCGCGCGCGCGCGCGCCAAAGCTTTATAGACGGCAAGGTCGCTCGCTCGGCCGGAGCCACCTTACTTTAAGCCGTATAACCGCATTTGTTTTTTCTTTTTTCTCTCCTTTCTCTCTCTCTCTCTCTCTCTCTCTCTCTCTCTTTTGCATTTTATTTTCCTTTTTTCTTTTTCTTTTTTTCTCTTCGTTTTTCCGAAAGACCGAGAGCGAGAGAGATCGATGAGCAAGCGCTGAGGGATAATGAACGATTTCGCGGTGTGCTGCTGCTGCGGTCTCGTGCGCGCGCTAGCATGCCTTTCCGATGTTTTATGCATATACCACTTGGCCGTGGCCAGCGCAACGCCACCGCGCACGGGCAGCCACGCACTCCTTTCTGCTTGTGTGCAAGCTGAAACTGATTGGTAAAAAAATTGGCCGCCTACTCGCGTGCGATCAAAGACTGCCTGCCAGCGATGGGGCAATCGCAGGTCGAGGTGGCGCTGATAACGAGCTGCGCGGCGTGCCGGACGTTGGATTCAGCTACCTTGGAAAGGCGCCGGGCAATGATGACCCTTCGAAACCGACCTGTCCCGATTTGCATGCTCGATCCTCCTTTTCTGAAAATTACGTAAAAGCGCCGTTCCCAAGTTATTCGAGATGTCTTATAGCAAGCTCCTTCCTCGAAAAAAAGAAGCGCGCAAGTTTGCACCGCTTAAAATCAATAATTTGACGTTTTACGGGATGATTGACACGCGCGAGTCCGCATACAGCTAATTGCGCTCTCTGGGTATTAACATTTAGCGCTCGCGAGGCAGGCCCGGAATCCACGCCCAGCTGCACGAGAAGGCAGAACTGGTATATTTGTGCCCCGGAGCTTTCGAGCCCGAGAGTACCAATCAAATTAGAAGCACTGAGAGCAAATAGACGCTTGGATGAAAAACCACCTCATGAGCGCGACTCGTGCCGAGAAAAGGGATCGGGATGCTCTCTCGAAATAATCCTTTAATTATAACCTGCAGGCCTCTCGCGGCCTGTGAACTGGCTCGTATATCATTTCTATGTCTCTTTCTCTCTCATCTGGGGAGCAGGCGCACGCACGAAAAAGGGTCTACGAATCCAGCGATCGAAATCCGTTCGCGAGAGCAATCTTTGGTCCTTTGTGCTGTCGTAGGATAGCTATAGTCTTGGAGGAGGAGGAGAGAGAGATGCGCGCAGAATCTCGCGTTGCACGAGAGGAGAAGCCAAGACGGGATAGAAGAGAGAACGAGAGAGAGAGAGAGAGAGAGAGAGAGAAAGAGAGAGTAGGGACAGGAATAGCCGCGAGGATGACGTAAGCACATCCTGGCCACTCGCGGCCGTCGACTGTACGCCTGGCCGCAGTGGCGTAAGACGCTAGAGGGACGAGCTTAGCGCACTGCCACCATGCACTTATATAGCTTTCGCACGCTGAGGCCTGTAAATCCTCTTTACCGCTCATTTTCGGCCCGCTACGCGCACGCATCACCCTGCTCTCTCGCGTTTTCACGAAAGCCCGTCTCACGCCTCTTCTCCAGATTTATCATCGTCAATTGACCGTAAGATCGGAGCTCGACTTTTCCTTGTAGTTTTGCGGTTGATACTTTTCAATCGTACCGTAGAACGTTTACTCGTCGTTGTGAACTCATTTATTTGTTGCGAACGATCGACTGCAGCTCACGTGGTCGGGCGAAGTCGCGACAATTGTTACCCAACGAAATTGCTTGCCTACCACGCGCAAAACCAACGTCCAGTGTCGTTAACGTCGCGCGGAAAACGATGGGCAGTTGGGCAGTCGGCTGCGTATAATCCAGAGCGAACAGGACGAATGCCCCTAAGGATCTGCTAACCTGGCTCCCTTCCCCCGAAGGAAGCAAGTCGCGTGGTGGTCGATCACCGTAGCTCGCGACTGCAGCCGGCCGAAAATGCGCGGCGCAGTTAGAACGGCGTCGAGCACAAAGAGATAGCGAGCGCGAAGAGAGGCGCAGAGCGCGCACGCGGGGATGATGGCAGCGGCGAGCAGGCCGTCGTGTCTCTGACCTCTGCGAGTATCTGCGCGCTGCGCCAGGCAGTCCGCGGCGGCTTCGGCTGTACGTGCACTGTGTGCGCGCGCGGAATAGCACGAACGGGACGCGGGCATTTGTCGCCTCTCTCTCTCTCTCTCTCTCTCTCTCTCTGTCTCTCTCTCTCTCTCTCTCTCTCTCTCTCTCTCTCTCTCTCTGTCTCTCCTCTCTCGCATATAGCAGCCGGCCCCCGCGCGCCAGTTTGTCAAGATAAAACTCAGTTTTTTCTCTCCGTCGCCGCCTCTTGCCTGCCAGCATCCCTCTTGCGCCGCGCCGGTTGTTTGTTTCTAAGGTGCGCGCGCGCTCCAACGAAATCCCTCTTCGAGCCTTGCCTTCCTTTTATCGTCTTTGCTTTTAGCGCCTGATTGTTTCCTCCTTGTTATACACGCGCGCGCGAGTCATATGTACACACGTCCCGCGGTCCTTTTCCTCGCGTTGCTGCGTTATGTTTATTGCTTTGAGGCTCGCTGTAATACAGCTTCGCGCGCGCGCACCTACAGCCAAATAAATGCTTCGGCGTCGAGTGTGATTGATAAGCTGCACAGTTGATAAATGCAATAAGTGCGTCACGAGCGCGTCGTTGCAGCCGCCGAGAATATATACTTTAATTCGCTCCTCCCGCGTTGTTTCATTGAGCGGGATCTTTAAATAGCTCGCTGCGGCTAGACTGGTTTTTCCCTACCTTTTTTTTTCGTTTGTTTATTGCACGACGACTCTGTGTATACTTACGCATGCACCAATGTGCGCAGAATGCCCACTTAATTGTAAGGCCTTTTGCTTGAGAACGTACACACCGTGCCGATTACTATCTACGCATATGAAATATGATGGATAGCTGAGGCGTATAGAACGCTGTCGCACAATGGACCGATCGTAACAATGAAATTTTCAAAATTACGTAGAGCAAGAGCCGCATTAGGCATATTACCATACGTTTCGAGACACTTGATTCTCGCGATCGCGTGCTGCTCAATTTATTAATCGTGTATGTCACTCAGACGCGTCTATAGTTTGCGACTGAGTTCTTAAAATTATTACGCGTGCCAGAAAGTTCGGAATCCTATCATGAATAGAACTCGAGAGCAATGGAAACTAAAAAGAAGAGAGCCGATCGAAGACATAACCATTCGGAAGCATTCACCCAAGTAAGTCGTGATTAATTGATCTCCCTCGCTCGCATTCTTTAAAACATCACGAATTCAAAAGACAACGAGTCGTACACGCATAAGCAGCATCCGCGAGTTCTTCACGCCTGGTAGTTTGCCAACTCTTTTCTCTAGCCTACGTTTCAACTCTCTCTCGACGGAGCTCGTTCACTACTAAACGTTATGTGGGTAATTGCGTGGGCGCTTGAGGCGTGGGCTCTCTTGGCCTTCGAAGTCCTTCGGGAGAAACTTTTGCGTGGGTGAGGCGCGCGCGCGCGCAAGACTTGTCACAACAACAAGCAATATTGCGAGCGTGCCGTAACAGTAAAAATACAGAAAGACGACACCACGCGACCACCAATTTTTTCAATGATGAAAAGCCTGCCGCGTTGATGCAATGGTACAGCGACAATGACGCTTGTTTCTACTTTATTTTTGGATGCTGTCGGATGTGGGAGAGATATACTTTTTCGATTCTTTATGGCGTGAAAGGCTATCCAATGAATATTAACGCAGTACAGTGACTCATTGTTCTATAAGTAAGAATAGCATCGAGTTCCTTTTTTTCTGAATAATATTTACTCTTGGAGACTACTGTTAATTTGTCCACTTTGCGTGACATTGGGAATTTTCCACTATGATTCGCGATAATTATAAAACACAATTTTCAATGATCGCTCACGGCTGTATTTCTCATATTAATAAAGTTTCATACCGATGTTCAAATTATAAAATAAAATTAGTAATTCGTTTTAAGCGTTGGCTGCAGCTTTCTTCTGAGCTTTGCGCAGTTGCTTCCTCTTCGCTACCTCAGACTCTTCGTGCAGACGTCTCTTTTTCCGTTTCAACCAAATCTCTTTCATCCTATCCTTTTTACCCTCCTTCATGCTTTTGTAAAGCTTTCGGTATTTGTTGGGAACTAACTTCTCACGCAAACGGAACTCTTGACTTTCTTGACGACTCTTTTCATACGGATCCTCCTTTACTATCTTGCCGCTTTTTACTTTCATTTTCTTTTTCTGTGGGAATAAATTTACAGATATATTTAGGATATGCGTTCGATATATTTACTTAAAACAAAATACCTTTTGTAATCTTTCCGTTTCTTTAGAATCTTCAATGACAGACTTTTCAGCTTTTTTTTTACTCTTTTCTACAACGACTTCCGGCTCTTCCTCGTCTTCATCTTCTTCTCCTTTTTCCTCCGCCTCGTCGCTCATATGATTGTTGTCCTCATTATCTTCATCTTTTGTTTCATCTTCTTCAGTGCCTTTCTCTACCTCCGAATCATCATCCATTTCATCGTCTTCTTGAGCTGTAAATCAAACGATAATAACAATTAATGTAATAAAATTTAAACAAGGCATTACTTTTTCATCTCTGGTCATAAAATAGTTCTTAATGAACCATCCGAGAGCACGTACCGTAATTCAACCTATATTCCGGATCCATTAATGCTCTTTCCTCAGGCGGAATGTATTCTTGATTGCGGCGCGGATCCGAAAATGGTGAAAGATGCGGGGGCAGCTTACAACCCATCAAATATTTTTCAACAGGTAACAGCTCTCGAGCATTAATACAGTCGAAAATCCATTGAGGCTGAATATAATACCTGGAATCGTAAACATTTTGTGAATACACAGCGGCAGTTAAATGTTTTGTTCTTATTATTCAAGTAATTTAATAACACAAGAGTCTTGTCTATACATAAAGTTTAAATTTTAGAGGGCCGGGGTTTTGAAAAATTTGTTAATCGCATTTTTCTAAAGAAATGTGATCTAGGGTCCATAAGTTAGGGCCAAACTAAGTTGGGATGTTATCAGATCAGACCCCTTACGTCTAGAGGCGCATCCCGGTCCGATACAATAAAGCCAAATATCAACATTTTCGAAATTTAAAAATAATATTCAATTGCATTATTCTTTTTTTTTTCATTTTTAGCTTAATTTAAGTTTTATATTATACTTATTATACTAAAAAAGATTTACCATAAGTAATTGATTAGTTACTATTTGTAAAATATAAATAAATAATTTGATTTTTTTACGTCTCTAGGTATTTTCTGGCCCTCTAAAGGTTAAAGCGTGAAAATATCGAAAATAAAATTTAAACAAAAATCTGAGAACGAATTAATTTAAAAAATCAAGAACATGGCATTAAAAATTAAAAAGAGAATAGTCTTTACCTGGAAAGGTACTGATTATCCATACTAGATCTGTCTACAATATGATGTGTTATAGTTTCATCATTTACGTCAAATGTTGAGCCAACAAATAACAATTTGTCCCATGAAACTTCGCCTCCAAAACAACGAATTACGAAAACAAGTGATTCCCTAGGTACTTCTCTATTTATATAAAACTTCAACCCTTTAAATAAAGTTTTTAATTTTTTAATTTTTTCGTATTCAGCTTTGATCTCATCAATTTTGGCTGCATCATTTTCTGTGAACGTATCAATTTCTACTTCTTCTTCAGCTTGTACTCCAGGAGTTAGAGTAACCAGTGGAACATTAAGAGCACTTATCCTTTCAGAGGCAAAAGCTCCAGCATCAACAAGTGCTTGTTCAGATGTACCTACAATCATTGAATAATCGATGAGTGAGATAAAGTTCTATTTCTTCAAATATCATTAAGCTTTTGACAAAGTACTTACCAACACTGCTGAATTTGGGTGGATAATACAAATTTAATGTGTGATAGAGTCTATAGTTTACAAATCCAAGCATGATAATGTAAAATTCAACGAAAGTGGACATCATTTTAAAATCTACTTCTGACTTTTTCTGTGGTTCAAAACCAAATTGATGAGGCACAATCCAAGTAATAGTCTGCCCTTTTATTTCAGCTTGATAATAATATCCTTTTATCGATATGAAAACTTTCCTAAGAGCTTTAGCATAAATGACAGCATGCATAAACTCTACTGTGAGTCTTCGACAAAGTATACTTTGATCTCTTGGTATGTGTGGCATTGAAGGGAAAGTACTAAACAAGAAACATAAAGTTAGACAATCATCCAAGTCTTTAAGTGCATCTATAAAAGTTGGATATCTTTCTTTGACAATGTGATCTAGTTTTATTGTTGGGTGATTTTTTAGGTATCTCTTCATTTCTTTGAAATCTCTTAAGGCCTTTGCTCTACCTACTTTTCTTGCAAATATCTACAATAATAATAAAGAAAATAATAATAGTACATTTAATTACTAAATTAAACATGGTATAAAGTTAGTTAACCATACCTTGTAATCCCTGAGCTTCCATATTATAGGTTCATGCATCAAAAACTGAATGTCCTTTTTGTGATAAAGGATTTTTATACGAGTATCCCCCTTCTGTGCCCTTTTGCGATTCCGAGGTTCTCTCGGATAAATTCCTTTTATGATACATAATCTGCGAAATTCGTTCAAAGACAATTGCAGTTTTTTCAATGCTTGTTTTCTTGTGAGAAACTGCGTTGCCTCTCCGGCCTCGTACTAAAAAGATCATCACAAAATATAAAATTTAATAAATTTTTCTTATATATAATTATATATAATTTACTTCACTTATAATTATATATAATTTACTTCACTGTTAAATCATAACTTGAAATTAATGTACACTTAACCTCATCAGATACATTTTTACGAATTTAACGAGAAATTACCTTTTTCTTACCGATGACCACCATTTTATATGGTTCTAAAAATAAAAATTCAGCAAATAAAACACTATTTTTGTCTAATAACTCATTTCGTTATCCACATAATTATACAATTTTTGAATATACACGTTGACATGCGTTCGTACACGTGCCTATTATCTTTTTAAGGCATTATCGACCGAGTATTTTTTGTTGAAATTGGAAATTTCAGTTGGTATAACTGCATTGGCAAAAACTTTGAATCTATGCATATTTTTCTATTCTGTGCACGAAATTCTTGCTATTTAATGTAAAGTTATTCAATCACTAATACAAGAACTACAGAATTAATTACCAATGAGTCAGATGTTATTAAGTTGTGCAACAAATAGTTTATGTATTTTTGGCTAGTATTGTTTTTATGTTGTGTAAAAAGTAATTGGCAGTACCATTTTAATACTCCATCTATCTACGCTAGTTTGAATCTCATCAATATAATCACTGATTTCGTTGTTTACCAAAAGCTGGTAAAAATATTTTAGATTAATATATAGATCGAATCTGTCACTAGGTCACTTGTAATTTTATATTTTTATCTATATAAGAAGTTGATTTTTTCGCCATACATAATACAATAAGTAGAATTGATAGTCGTGTGTTATGGAAACACCGGAGAATTTAATAAAATGCTTTGACGAAAAAATTCAATGGGGCTGGGGACATGGTCGAACAATTGAAACTTGTAGAAAAAGTTGAAGGTGTTGACAAACTAATAAGAAAAATTCAACAAGAAGTAAAATTTCTTAACAAAGTATTATTATTCATTATTGAGTATATCTGTAAATATGTGCATGTATTAATATCTCATATTCAATTGTTATTAAGGTACGAGCTACAGGTAAAGTCAAAAAAGAGCATTTACAAAGCACGAATTTAATTCATTTGAATGCTATAGTAAATAGACTCTTATCTGCTAATGATCCTGTCAACGTTTTAAAACCATTCAAGTATCAAAACTCAAGATTAGAAATAGATATTGTTTGTGATGGAGGTTTAAGTTGGGTCAAAGTTATTGCTCGCAATGCAAAAGCACTTACACTCATCTCCAGAGGCAATGCTGAATATGGTCAAAAGTCAGTTTTTGATCAAGCAGAATCTTATTTAAAATGTGCTAAAAATCATCCACACATGTATAGACCACCAGATATTGTATTTTATTTTGCCTGTGGTATAGAAAAACCATTAGCAGAGAAGTTGGAAAATTCTTTAGGTATCATTATTGAAGGAGATATTATAAATTCTGATTATGATGATAATGATATAATAAATGGTAAAATTAAAATAAAAGTAAAATTATGATTTGTACCATGGTTATAACCTCAACTTATAATTTTTATATTTTACAGATGACTTATTACGTTCAGAGTCAGAGACAGAATCTGAAGAATCTACAAGTAATAATGTCTATGATTTATTAGACTTGAATACCAATGTTGAAACTACTGATATTACAATACTCAATTTAGATGTTTCAACTTTACTTGCTTATGTGACAAATATGACCAATGGTTATGCTAATTTCATTTACATCGAACCCCTGCTCACTACACAGGCTGAGTGGGAAAGGACTCGGCCTATAAAACCAGTATTGGATAATTTGTTTCAAAATAAAGAGCTGGTAGTATGTCAAACTGCATATGACAATTTCACAAATATCATCAATCTAATTGGTGGACCTATTGAAAAAAAAAAGAACTGAAGATTTATTAAATAGAGTGAAAATTGTTGAAGACATTCCACATGGAAGAATAATGGATTTGAATCTAGGTGGTAAAGTTAAAGAACGATCAAGACTTGTTTTTGCCAGTGGAGAAAATTTAAAAAGTATTACTGTATCTGCCAATGAAGGATTTGTTCGTGCTGCAAGGATGCAGGTACAATATTCAAATTTATTCTCTAGAACATTGTACTAAAAAATGTCAACTAATTAAAAACTTATTACAGGGAGTGGAGTGTATGGTATTTATTCACGAACCACGATCTTTATCTGAAATGAAAGAACGAAATGCCGCAAAAATCGAGTCTTCTTGACATGACTTATCTCACAATAGTCTAGCGCTTTTTTGGACATAATGATATTAATATTTATGTTTTTTATACAAATATTTAATAGAATGCAATCATTACGTAATATTATTGATTATATATTATTTGAAAATTATTTATTAAATGTTGAATAATTGTTTTCGTACAAAATTATAGTCAGTTTAATCAGAGTTATTAGCTGCTTTACTCTCCAAGTTTTTTTCAAATTCTGAAATAATGAAAGCCACTTTATCTCAATACTTTCGTTAAAATGTCAAGTGACGAGAGAGAAATTAAGTGATGATACCAACCAGCAATGTAATTGAGAAAATATGGATTCTTGTCTTTGGCAAGTGCAATGAACTCTTTGCATTTAACGTGGTTGCCGAGTGACCGATGGCACTTGGCGCTATTAAGTAAAGCCTTGATGTTGGCCTCGTTGACCTTTAACGCCCATTCGCAATCAAGTAGTGCCTTCTCGAAAAGGCTTAGTTTCATGTAAGCAAGAGCGCGATTATTCCACAATACTGTAGAATCGCGTCTTTGGTCTAAAGCCTTTGTAAAGTATGTAACAGCTTTCTCGTAGTTGCTTTCTTTGAAGGCGCCATTTCCAATTCTTTTGTAAGTTTCTGCACGCTCGTTGCGAGTTTTGCGATCTTCTGACCTGGCTTGTGCATCCTTTTCAACGCTTCGTTTGAAAGCTTCTGTTGTTTAACAATAAGTTCAAATTGTTTTGATATAGATTCATAATTTAATTCAAACCAAATCAAATGCTTAAAAATTAGATGAGTCAAAATGCAAATTTAATGATCTTACCTTGCGACATTTGGTTTGGATCTGCATCTTCAGCAGAATACGTATTAATTAATGTGCGATTTGATTTTATCTTCAGCTCTTCGTCTTCTGATATATCACAATTGCGACTCTTCCCTAAAATTTCATCAGCCAAATGTATTCCTTGCCGTTGTTCGGTTTCATTTTCAGATGAGAGCTGTTTAATTATTTTTTCTTGAAAACGAGTAAGATATCAATCTTTGAACTAGTGCAACAATTAATTATTGTAATAGATAACAACTGTCATTTATTTTTTATAAATGCATACCAACTTCGGTGACGCGATGCATGAAGTTCTGAAATTCCTCTTCTGTACCTTTCCGTTTTTCATCCATATTGGAAAAAACTTTAGAGACCTCTTCATTCATGCACGAGTTAAGATTGTCCAATTTTATATCATTTTCCATCTTAGAAATAAAAATATTTCGAAGTTCTGACTGCTTGTAATTTTTTAGCTCAATTTACTTGTTATTCGTATTGCCATGGATACGCACATGTTATGTGAATCGATATTTACATAATGAATCACTATAATTTTTTATTTGACATGATTTTTACTAAAACGTATTTGACACAGATGGTTGCAACTCTGTATTCATCAATACATGTTATGTATATTAATTCGCTCCTGTGACAAGTATAATGATGCCAAATGACTCTTTAGGTATAAGTGATGTGCTGTTTGAAGAATTAAGATTTAATGAAACCATCGTATTTTAGTAAATGAATAAAAATAATGAAGCAACCATCTAATGAAAGAAGAACAATCACCGTACTTCTGGATCAAAAATTTAATGTAACAGTAAAATATTTGAATTTAAAAATTGATCAACAGTTGATAAGTTTGTTCCCTGCCAAATGAAATCGTATAAAAGTTACTTGTACAACTTGCAGAACTTGAATTATTATGAAGGCTGCGTAGCAGAAGTGTTTTAAATCACCATTGTTGGAAAGTTGAAAAATTTAGGCATAGAGCATTCAAATAGGTCAACAAACAGTAAACAAAAGAAAAAAGACGCGCTTGCTAAAGGGAACGTTCAACGATACGATTGCTGCGGGGAGAGAGGGAAAGGCCGCGAAGGCGCGCGTTCGTCGTCGCTGCTGCGTCAGTATCTCGTGAACTTCCACGGTGTGTTATTGTGCTTCTTTGTAATAACCGTCTCGTGATCCACCTTTTCTATCCGCGAGAGAAAAACGACTCTCAGATAACCGCATCAGTTTCTCGATTGTATCACAAAGGAAACTCGCGTGCGCTATTAGCGTTATATAAATAAAAAACAGTGCCTTTAAAAGAGGAAGAAGAAGAAAGAGCGTGCGCAATGGCGGACGACGGCCACGAGAACGGGACAAGCAACGGTGGTGATGTGCCGGAGATCGAGCTCATCATCAAGGTAAGCAAACAGCGTACACGCATACGCGCTGTTCAGAGACTAGCTAGATTCATACACGTAGAAATACATACGTGTTGGCACTTCCGCCAACTGTTGTCACCGCGAGAGCAGCCAGCGACGCGGCAATGGGCGTGGAGGTTCCTCACACACGCACCACCTGGAGCTCGCTCTCTTTCGCTGCCAACACGCCGTTGTCCTTCTTCGTTCTCGCGGTGGAATGAGCGAGAGAGGTTATTGTTACTTCCGCTGAATGGGTTGCATGCAACTAAAAATGTCTAATTGTGTAATAGAAGGCCGAGGTTTTTGCTATTTTGTGATCAACTTGCACTCTGCGAATTGTCAAGGAGTTATTAATGCTGATGCCGAACCTCTGCGAGAAAGAGAGAGAGAGAGCCACGTTTATTTGGCATTCCCACAACACACGGAGAAACGCATCGTAATCGTGAATTAATGCAGCACTGTTTTAATATCTCGTCAGACCTGAGTCATCGCGCGTAAATGCGAGTGAAAAAACAATTTTTGCTATTAGATCTGTTAACATCGTCATTTTGATCCTACTTTCCCGATGACTTTTAGTAAAATACTGCAGTAGCTTTAACCGACTTTTCTCGTGTTTGAATGAATACCCACCTTTTGTTTCTTTTTCTCGCTCTGTACTGATCAACAGGTTCGCTCTAGATCTGGGCGTATTTACGTTTAGCACTGCTCCGGGTATTTCCGCATTTTCGACGCAAATATGTATTTCTGCAAACTACTCGAAAGACAAACGTGCATTTTAGCTACAAGAATCGAACAATTTTTCAAGTATATTTCCGCATACTCCAAAGAGAGATTCCAAGTGTTATACAACAACAAATGTTGTGGACTAGCCAGTTTTAAAAAAAAGAGGATCTTTCGCGCACCGTATACTCGGATTATCAATTACCCCGTCACTTTTTTCCGCAAAACCACGTTCTCCAAATAAAACGAGGAGGCAAAGCCATTCGACAGGAAGGATGAGCACATACGCACTCGGCAAAGAGAGCGATGTTGCCGAAATGCTGCGGGGATCCGTGCCGGATTTTCGCTTATTTCTCTGTTTCGCCGACGCGCTCCTGCTTTTTTTCTTTTTTTCTTTTCTTACAACGACGATGCACGCGCTACTGCTTCGCGAATAAAATGTCAAACTGTACGGCGTCGCGATAATAGAAAGCCGCTGCCGGCAACTCGCTCAGCATTTTTTCTTTATCCGGGGCGGTGAAAATCGCGTGTTATTTTTCCTTTGCAGCCTGCAACTTCAAAACTCGTGGAGGTTTTACTATCGCGAGCGAGAGAACGTCGAGGGAAATGGCTTTTTAGAAGGCGTAAATGTGGTTTATGGACTTCCTCGAAATTGTTTTGCGGGGTGAAAATCTCGTTTTTGTTTCGCGCCGCAACACGGTCTTTTACGCGAATTTGGGTTACCAGAGTATTTTCTTCAAAGCGCATCAGTCAAAATTGACGGCATTGATAATACTCGAGGAAGTAGTCGACATCTCGTTAAAACGACAACGATGAAACTAGAGGTCTCATACAGCAGAGTCGATTCGGGGCTTCCGTTGAAGTTTTACATCTACATCGTAAAGTTTCAACGTAAGTGTGCGGTGAATCGTGAAAAATATGGAAAACCTCAGTGGTAATAATCCCCTCGTTTAAATTTCAATCTTTGCGTGATACATGCAAGCCTCGCAATATACGTACGAGTGCTGGAGGCCTATCTGGAGCAGATAATCGCCGCTAATACCGCCTCGGCTTCGCTCGTACTTGCAGTGAGTTCCCCCGCGCGCGATAAAATACACTGCTGTCGACGTAATACGCGAAAAGCCGATTGTCGAGTCTTACGTGGCCGCCAGTTGTAAAGTTTACAATCGATACCGCTCGATCTTAACCTTCGCATTCCTTGCCACGCGCGCAGTGAAAGAAAACGAACGCGCGTCCATTTATCGCGCCGCTTCTCTCTCTCTCTCTCTCTCTCTCTCTCTCTCTCTCTCTCTCTCTCTCTCTCTCTCTCTCTCTCTCTCTCTCTCTCTCTCTCTCTCTCCTCTCTCTCTCTCTCTCTCCTCTCTCTCTCTCTCCTCTCTCCTCTCTCTCTCTCTCTCTCTCTCTCTCTCTCTCTCTCTCTCTCTCTCTCTCTCTCTCTCTCTCTCTCTCTCTCCTCTCTCTCTCTCTCTCTCTCTCCTCTCTCTCTCTCTCCTCTCTCTCTCTCTCTCTCTCTCCTCTCTCCCCCCCCCCCCTATGACTTTGTCTTTTTATATCAGCAATGCAAACGCAACGAGAGTCGCTCAAGATGGAATGAACTGGCGCGAGAGAATAAAATAGATCGCCAACGTACGCGAGCGTCGTTCGAGTATGACCGACGAGAGATTTTTGTTTTCTTACTCGGCGAAAAAAAATTACACGACAGTTTTTCGGGCGTAAATTTCACCACCTGGAAAATGGCCCGATGTATTATCAATGAACGCGCGCGAACGGCTGAACAGAAGCGCTCGTAAAACGACAAAGCTCTCTCGCGACACTAATTATTCTCTCTGCCGCACTTTTCCGCCTTTAACGGGTCGTATACCGGTTTTTCAAATGCTTTCGCCGCGCCGAGCCGACAATCCGCGAATCGAAAGTTGTGCCGACGCTCGCGTTCGCGCGACTTTCGTTGGAAAAGACGCGCGAGCGAGAGAAAAAACCGAAGCAACGAGGCGCAAGGACGTGCGTCATTGGTGTTTTCAATCGATGGAGATGCGCAGCGGAAAAGGGGAAGCGTTTTCTTTTTTCTTTCGATCTCGCTCGCCTTTCGCAGCAAGGACTTTCTATTTTCAAGTGACTTGTTTGCCTCCTACCCCGAAAAACCGAAAAGCGATTTGAAGTAGAGCGCGCGCAAGAAAGAAAAACAAGGCTCTTAATCTATAATCAGTAGTCGCGTAAGCGCGCTTTTATTTCTTTCGCTCGCGATAGTTTTCCGAACGATAGTCTCGCGTAATGAAGTAAATTCTCGGCAGCGTTTTTCTTCTCGATTACTCTCCGTAAAAGTGATTGTCGCCCGAGCTTAGAAAGCCAGTAGTTTCCATGAAAAATCCCATTAGCTCTGTATACACGTGGGAATAAAAAAAAATAGCTCTGCTCATTGACGATTAAAAGTCAATTGTCGTTGAGGGCGGCTAATGGAAGAAAAGTGCTTTCCTGCCAGGAAAAGAGAATTATCGCAATTGCTTCGACAACATTTATAGTCTAGGAGGGGAGGGGGGGGGGCGATGTGGGTAACGGGCTCTATTCAAGTGCATTTTATGTATTTTCAGCTACTCAACAAGAATTTCAATGGCGGTATGCTCAACAACCAACAGATAATTAATTACGAACAATTTGATTGTTCGAATGACTATAATGATCAACCAAACGACCATGCGTTACTTGTGTAATAACGAATTCATAGACTTTCTCAGATTCAAAAAATGCTGAATAGAACATGAGATTGCAATTTAAGTTAAACGCTGGCCGCCGTTTGACCGCCGGCTTTGCTCATTCGCGTTCGTGCTGTCTATGCCGTGTTATTGTTCGAATCTTTTCAACATTTTTTAATTCTGAAAGAATTAGTACATTCGTTATTGGATATCGAAAGCATAGCATATTTTCGAAATTCTCTGAGGTGATTAATACATTTTTTATGGTCTTTTGAACATTAAGTTTGTTCATAGCTAATTATCGGTGCACTTTTGGATAAGGTACCATCCAAATGCGTGTTCAGCACGTCAAAATACATCAAAATCATATTTGTAGTAGCTCATCATGAAATAGTTAGTTTTAAGCCATTGATTTTATAAAACAGTGACATTCTGAAAATAGTAACTAAAAAGAGAAAAATATAGATTCTCAAAAATTCGTAAAACCTCGAGTAGATTTTAGAGATATTATAATTTTTCTATGAACATTTTTACATAATTAAAAAATTCACAAGAAATGCACGGTTTATTAGTTATAAACGATTAAGATGTTTAAACGACCACAATCGTCTCGGCGAAATATGAGAAAAAAATGGCTGTTTCATAACTACCGCGCTTGTTATTTCAGAATTGAAAAACATTGGATAGATATTCAAACAATAACACGGTCTACGCAATACACGGCGAGCGCGAAGGAGCAAGGCAGAGAAACGGCAACATCTCAAGTTCTATTCAACATTTGTCGGAGCTGGAAGTTAATTTTTGAGCAAGCCACCATATCGCGCGGAGTGAGCGCCTCGAAATACAAATTGCATCGGGGTGGAACTGGTTACCCCCCGTTGGTCGCGAAATCCCCCCGGGGCGGCTGTCGCTATTACGTATAGTGTGCACGGCTCGTCTGTGAGATGCGTTCGTTTTGTCCGAGCACAACCGGGAGAACAGCCTCTCGTAAAAAGAGAAAACGTCGGAAAAACACGTCGGTGAGACGGACGTCGTCCCTTCCTCCACGATTATAGGCGAGCAGCGCGCAATGCATGTAGGTGCGCTCGGCCGAGCGAGCAAATTTCGACACTTCCTCTCTCCCATTTTCCGCTGCAGGTTTCGTTGCAGCTCGAATCGCTTCGCCGAAGCGGCGCCGAGAGACGCGATGCGATGCGAAAAACTGTCTCCCGAGTGGGCCGTTGTCGCGCTCGGGTCAGTTGTTCAGGACGTGTACGGACGTTTTCGTTCCGCAGGTATGCGCGACGGCGAACCGCGCGTGTGTCGCAATCGCGGGCTTTCACGCGCGTGGGTTTCGCCGCGCCGTGCGCCAATAACAAACGGCGATAGTATCCGGAGTTTACGCGTGTGGCGCGCGCGCGCGCGCGGAGGCGAGGTCGATTACGGACAGATGAGAACTGGATTCGGGTGAAAAAAGCCATCGAGTCGCGGGAGGGCTTTCACTTTCGCTCGCGGGTGCTTTGCTTGCGATGCGTATCGCGATTCAGACACGCGCGCCCGAGGTTCGGCTCGATGTGCTGCGCGATCCCCCGGGCCGCGGGCATCTCGCTTAATACGAGCGGCTCAACGTGTTCGTCGTTAGCGCACCTGCGGAAACTACGGCGTCGAGTGTGCGCTGCCCCGACGATCGCGCACCGCGAACGGTAATGACAATGCGATTCCCCAAAAGGCTCTCGCGGTTTTTAATTGGCACGGAAACTGTATGTCGGCCGTACCGTTACGTGTTACGTGGACGAACGAAGCGTCTTGTAAATACAATTTACGTTTGATGTTTTCATCGTTGTCTTCGGAAAGATCGTCCGTGTCAAAACTGACCTAAATCACCCGGCGACCCCTCTCGAAAAGAAAAGTATCCAATTCAACCGGTTTTCTCCTCGACACTCCGCCCACGAGCATACACACAACACACACACACACACACACACACACACACACACACACACACACACACACACACACACACACACACACACACACACACGTACACGCGCACACCGGGTCACTCACAATTAACGGTACTTCGTCCGTCGCGCAGAAAAGTCATTTGTTCGCGTGCTAATGAGTCGATTGCAAACTTGACGGAGTTAATGTACGTGTGTATGTGTTTCCTCGTTAGTTCAAGAGGCTGACATTCGTATTCGCTTATTGGCAAGGGGAGAGACGCACTGCTGTCGCGCGTCTTTTTATTCGACAGAGCCTCGTTCGCACTTGAGTGCGCGAACGCGCCGCGATCGACGAATAATCGTGCCACATCGAGAGGCCTTCGTTGCCCGAGCGCGACGAACTGGGACCGTCCGTCGTCCGATCCAGTCACAGGACGCGGAGCAGCCGCGATCGGTCTTTGACGAGCGCTCGCGGCACGCCGCCACCGCGATGGTACACGATCGCGCCTCTGGCCTACATCCAGCCGGCGGGGAATCGGCATTCTCGATCTCCTTTGTCTTCGGGCGTCTCTCCTCCCCCGCCCCCCTCCCCCTCCTCCCTTTCTTTCTCTTTTTTCCGGCTTTTTCCTCGCCAGCGATACGCAAACACACAGACACACACGTGAGACCGGGACTTTCGCTTCGCGCTACCGTTCTCCAGCCCCGCTCTCTCCGTCGCAAATTAGCTGAACGTTCGCCGACTGGCTCTCCGTCGAGCACACATGGCCCGTCTGTGGAAATCGTCGTTGCGCAAAGTCGATCGGGCTGGATAGGGAGGCTTGCATTCCCGGCGATCCTCTTTTCTTTATCATCGTCGTCTTCGTCTATCGTCATCCAGATCTCCACACGAGCGAGATAAGTTCTGCTTACTCTCTTCTTTTCACCCGTCCAGTTCAAAGTGAACGCACCGCTGTACGTTCGTTGAGAGTTCGATCAACGTTCAAACCCGTCGAAAGATGCAATACGGCCGACACTGTCGTTCGATTCACGCGCAATGTTGCCATGTACAGGCCACCCGTGCAAACGCGACAAATTCATCCATCGCGCGTATTTGAGATAGGCGAAAAAAACAAAAAAATATAAACAAAGTGCGCGCGAAGAAGCTGCCGCGGTGACCAACAAGGCCGCAAAGCACCGAGGGAACAGAGAATTGTGTACGACGTGTAACGCTTATTACACACCGAAGGCACTGCATTCCTGGCTGTGAATCATTCGAAAAATTCCCACGTTTCGTTCTGTCCGCGCGCATCAGCTGAGAGAAAAAAAATCATTGGCGACCGCAGCAGCGACAAATGACGAACGTTTGAAAGAACTGTTTCGTTATCGCCTTATCACAGGGGGCCAGTGCAACGAATCTGGCTGGTTTCGTCAAGCGGAGACTGTTATCGTTCGATTTTAGTGCTCTTGCTACCGCCTGTGTCGGTTTTTTCTTCTTCTCGCTTATCTTCGCGCGGAATACAGTCCTGATTGCACAGCTCTTTCGATCGCGCGGCTTACGGCAGTTTTCCGCGCTGCACCTCGT